AACATTTCACATTTTCGAATGAGAATACCTAGCATATTCTCTCTGCTCTTTTCTCGTCATGTGCACACAATTTAAGAAAATTCGACACTGGCGGACACTTTCTCCGAATATCGCCTTCAGAGCTTGTTTTATTGCGACAGCTCATCCCTGTCGTTAAACAAGCTCTGATTATCTGTCCGTCGAGAGCAGACGGACAAAACGCTGTGTACTAATCTGAATGCAAGAATAAGGATGCCTTCGATTCAAAACATGAGCATTGTACCACTGTTTTCGTGTGGTTGTTTAACGCTCCTCCATTCTGTGGCTAATTTTCAGCAACTTTTTGCTTCAGATGGCTTTATTCCTGAAAAAAGGAAAAGCATCGTGCTTTGTTAGAAACTTCTTTTCCTGAACTACCACGAAGATACTCCATCACAACACGCTCCCTTGCAGATGACATGCTTATTCAGGCACATGACATCCTTTTATCAAGCATTTCAGAAGCTTTAGCAGTTTCCATCGCCTTCATCGGAGCGAGCTTTCCCTTACTAACCATAAGAGCCCACTGTGAACACGATAGCAGCCACTGCGCCGCCATGTCACTATAATTCCTCGTGCTGACTTCCGGTCGCTGTTTTCTTCAAAAGCGTATCTGACTTGTACTGCTTGTGTGCGGCGTTCGAACCGCCACAGCTACATCGCTCAATCCATAACCTTCCACCAAAACAAACTTCTTACTAGGGATGGTTGCCAGTTCGAAGTGGCCAATTGTAATGAGACATAAGACGCGTTTTTGGACGCTGATATCGAGGCTGCACAACGATTCTCTAAACGGAGTCATGAAGGTGTGTTTGAATAAAGGGACACAGAGTGAAGCGCGGCTGCCACTGAAATTGCATGCATAGCAGTGAAGCGCATCCAGTATCAGCTGCAATATCGTATACTGGTAAGAGTCTCGCTTCGCAGGCGTGAGATGAAGATTCGGGTTTCGAGGAGACAAGTTCTCGCATTTTTTGAGGAATGACCCCTTTGGGTCTAAAAACACTTCCAAGTTGTACGATTGCACTTCACCAATCCAGTCAATCCTAAGTAATCCTACCTCGGGGGACAGATTTCTAGCGAAATGGCACGTTTTCATCTAACTCTTAAGAAGTGAGGCAGCTCTCAAGAAGTGGTGGGATGATGGTTACCAGTGGTTCTAGGGCCAGTCTACTATCGATTGCTTGTCTTCGGACGTAGATTGCTTTCAGGAAACAGGAAAATCGGAGCACAGACAGAACGAATGCTTCAGAAATTGCAAGCTGAGAATTCATCTGTAGCTGAATAGGTGAGAACATGAACTGGACCGCACCCTATGGATGTTTCAAATTTCAAAGTCTGGTTGAAATGACAGACTTGGATAGAAGCTGGTATCCAGGCGTAATTTAACCCGCTAAACATGGAGATGACACTGGCCTAGCGTTTAAACGCTTGTGTCGTGCGCTATGGGCATCTGCGTAACCAAATGTTTTCTGGATCACAAGGTGTCCAGGCGCAAAATACACTGGTGTGCAAAACTTAGGGACGAGATGGATAAAGTAACATAAAACACTAATGACTGGGTGGAAGTAAATGAAAGTGTGGGAGCATGTTGCCACTCGCCTAAGGGATATGCACAGGAAGCTAGACTTTTCTCGGTGGAAGAAGAGCTTGAATAAAGTGCCAAATATGGCCGACCGCGCAAATCGAGGCAGTCTATGGGTATGAAAAAATTTTTCTCAATCAACGAGTAGCTGCAAAGAACTGTGGTAGTATCCTTCGATACATCATGTCCCGAAGAGAGCATCTGGATGACTTCACTCGAGGAAGGATCATAGGGAAACTCGAAGAAGGTCGAACCATGACGAGTGTAGCCCAGGAGTTCGGTATCGCTCACAGCGTTGTTTCACGTGCATGGAGAGCGTTCCGAACCTTTGGTACTGCTGCCCGAAGACGAGGAGGTGGCCGACCAAGGACAACTACCAAGGGACGACCGCTACATTGTGCAGCAGGCAAGAAGAGATCCTCGTCAGTCGGCTTCGGCTATTGCAACGACGTTTAACAGGACTCTAGGGCAAGCCATCTCACGCACTACAGTGGCAAGACGACTGCAGGGTGATAGTCTCTCCCCCCGAAGACCGTTACGTTGTGTTCCTTTGACCCCCGTTCATCGGCGAGACAGTTTACGGTGGTGCCAGGAGCATGGCGAATGGACCGATGAGGAATGGAGCCGTGTGCTCTTTTCGGATGAGAGCAGGTTCAGTCTGAGCAGTGATTCTGGACGCACCCTCATATGGCGAGAGGTGGGAACACGCAACTCCCCCGGAAACATTGTCGAACGTGATCGTACTGGTGGTCGAGGTGTTATGGTATGGGGAGGCATCATGTTGCATGGCCGTACTGACCTCCAGATTTTTGAGCATGGAACCCTCACCAGTCAGCGTTACTGCGACGAGGTTCTCCTACATCATGTCCGTCTTTTCAGAGCTGCAATCGGCCCTGACTTCATTTTCATGGATGACAATGCGCGACCGCATCGAACAGCACAGGTGGAGGAGCTTCTAGAACGAGAGGATATCCGGCGAATGGAGTGGCCCGCCCGTTCCCCCGACCTAAATCCCATCGAGCACGTGTGGGATGCACTGGGTAGACGCATTGCAGCACGACCAAATGCACCAATGACGATCCAGCAATTGTCAAATGCACTGATTGAGGAGTGGAATGCCCTGCCCCAGGAACTCATTACCAACCTCGTGGAGAGTATGGGATCGCGGTGCAGAGCATGTATTGCTGTCCGTGGTGATCACACACCCTATTAGGATCCGTGTAACTTCTTTTGTAGTACCAGGATAAATCGTGAAGACTTATGTGTAATCGACATGGTTGAATAAAAATGTCATAACAATTCGTCTTATTCCGAGTTTCTGTCAGTTGCTTTCTGTACAATATCGTTAAGGTTCTCTCTTGATATGATATGAATTTCATCGAGCTATGTTGTCTGGCAGAGGCACAGTGATCGAAAGTTGCTTTCGTCCCTAAGTTTTGCACACCAGTGTAGTTTCTTTTCATGCAACTTTGGGTGAGCACTTGTGTGACAGTGGCGCTACAACCACATTTTGCCTTTTTTTCCTGTAACAAGCAAAATAATTGAACATAGCAGGGATCCGATCCCATGAACTGTTGCTTGTTAGATGCGGAGGTAAAAGCCAATAACTCCCTTCAGAGAACCGTTCTGCAATTTTCGAAAGCAGATTTAAAGACAGCTCCCGCGCTCAAGTGGTACATGGTCCTCTTTCCTGTGCAGGTAGTTCAGCCCCCAAGCTAGATACTATCCCACTCTCGCGACTCCACAGTGAGCGAGGAGCGAGCTACAGCCGCTCAAAGTTCTAGTTCTAACGCCCGCCCAGTTGGACCGCCCCACTTGCTAGCTGCCCTCTGACGGAGAGCCGCTCAGTTGTTCTTTGTTGGGACGGCGGGCATTAATCGGAACTGCATGTACTTTTTGCTGACCGCGCTCGTGCCCATAAATAATTCTGCTCTCCTTCATCACATTTTATTCATTGGGAGCACATACAGTCAACTGCAACCCATCTCGTAAGGTAAAACGCGTAAAAATCACGAATGATGCAATTTCTGTGGTGCAAAAGCTCGACATGCACCAAAAGCTGCACACTGCACGTAACCCCAAATTCGGACGCCAGGTTTTTGAATTTTTCCTTTTTTCAAGTGTTTTTCGTTCGTGTCTTTGTTGTTTTTCATATTCTTTTCTTTGAATTGGATGTTGTCCACTACTGGGAAATGCCATAAAGCGATTTGTGAGCCAGGGGTTGCCCACGGACCGCAGGGCGGTGTAACTGTAAGGGAGCAATTTTGTTTGTGGTGTTCTTGAGGGCTCTTGTTGCTTTTTTCCTTCATTGAGGAATTACTTATCAGCTACTGTTTCATAATTGATCAGCAATTATCCTTGACACTTTTATCGCGGGAGCTGTCTTTAAGATCAGCGTCCGCAGCCACGTCCCGCGAGCTATTTCTGATTACAAATGACGTCTTGGACCTGGCAGCAGACTTAGCTAGTACAGAGTACCTAACTGTTTCAGCGTCCCTTGTTTGCCCTTTTAAATTCTTCCTGAAACCACTGTTCGAGCAGCCCGTAGAGCCGTCCAAGATTTCCAGAGAGCATGTATGTTCACCACATGACCACCTTTTCTATAAATATCATTAATTAGCTCTACCATGCCGCCACGGTGTTAATGATGAATAGGCACCGGCCGATCGTCCATTTCTGTAGTTCCAAGAGTAGAGGTCTTGGCTCTGAGACAGGGTTTGCAAGGGTGGGTGTGGTACTGTCTCACAATTTGACTACATTACCAGCAGAACTTCTTTTTCTTCTTGATGGATTTTGAGCAGTGATGTGTCAACCTGTTCCACATAGACGTCGTCAAACTCCTCGATATGCCAATCTCCACTTTCTCTCTTGTCATCCCCGCGTTCACTGGTTATTTTTCCTTACCATTTCCACGAACCGAAGCACAGTCTCTTCCCTCATTATCACTTATTTTTACATATGTTTTTTTTGTTGAACGCTGATCTGAGACTTCAGCGTGACCGATTCACCTATCGAAGTGAGATAGCAGAGTTATACGCTCGCTATGGGTCAAAATTTGATTTTCATGTGGTCGCCACCGCGCGTAAAAAGAAGTATACAGCACTCATTGATCCACACATACAATGAAAAATCGTTACGGCGGATCAAAATTTATCTCCTGGAAAACACCAACTCTTACAGATTGAGGATTGTTGAAAACGGGTTGACGGAGTTGTTTCACCCTTTACTGAACATCTTCTGTACCACTGCCTTTATGCATTTTCAGAATGCCATCACGGCTCTCAGTAATCACTATGTGAGTAAAGGCCATTTCCTATCAACGTGAGCATCCGCAAATTTTTTACTGTTTGCTGTTTCGTTTTGTTTCATTTCCACTGTTTGTTGCGGCGTGATTGTATCACACAAAAAGAAAAACCTGAAAGGTGTTCTTCACTCCGATCAAGTACTTTGATTCCAACATCTCCGCATTAGCAACAAATATCATAAGAGATATAGCAAGAATAAGAACTGAAGCATAAAAAATAAATATGGAAAAAACTTTCTGAATAGATATCCCAAAAACTGTCACCTGACGCAATTATGAGGACGTTATATACCACGGCTGCTGCACGTGGGCATTTTTTTCTGAATGATGGTAGTACAGCCGTGATAACAGCAGATGAGATAAGACCGATAACGATAATATTCAGAATAAGAACAGCATAGTGCCACCCTGGAATATAAACAACATATGATAAACAGGGATGCAAAGCAAGCAAAAGGTGACTGGATGTGACAATCATATTAGGTTGTTGCATAAGTTCTTATACACGTGTTTGATCCTCTCCTATTTCGTTCGCATGGATGTTGGTATTACGTCATCACGTGTGCGTGACGTGTACATTATACTCTTTCATTACACTAGCTATCACTCACCGAGCTTGCATTTGCAGTACACAATGTCGCACAATTTGCACTGTGACAAAACGTACCTGCGCCACTGTTTGGTTTTGCTCCACGATTTCGGCTGGAATGCAAAGGAAGCCCATACCAAGCTGGTGGATACATACGGTGAGGACGTCATCTCTTACATGACATGCAAGAATTGGTTCGCCAAATTCAAGAAAGGAGACTTTTCTCTCGAAGATGCTCCGAGGTCGGGTCGGCCGATGGAGTTGGATTTGGAAGTACTACGTTCCACCGTGGAGGAGGACCCGTACCTCACCACCAGAGAAATGGCGACCATGCTTAGCTATGATCATTCGACGGTTGCACGTGGACTAGAAAAGCTCGGCAAGGTAGCAAAGCTTGGTCGATGGGTCCCACATGAACTGTCCGCTTATGACCTCTGACCACCTGCACTTCTCTCCTCACTTTCCAAAAGAGGCTTCACTTTCTCAACTCGATGATCACTGGAGATGAGAAGTGGGTCCTCTACGGAAGCGGCAGTGGGTCGACAAAGGAGAACAGCCAGAAGCCACCCCAAAGGCCGACCTTCACCCCAAAAAGGTTCTCCTGTCCTGTTGGTGGTCCAGAAGAGGCATGGAGTACTGGGAGCTGCTGGAGAAGGAATAGACGATTGACGCTTCCACATACGTGACCCAGCTGCGGAAATTGAAAGATCACGTCGACCGTACTCGTGGAAGGAATGCGGAAATCTACTTCCACCATGACAACGCCCGACCTCACACTGCAAAGGCGACCCAGGCCGAGCTGGAGAAGTACGGATGGCTGATGGTCGCCCACCCTCCCTACAGCCCTGACCTCGCTCCTTCTGACTACTGGCTGTTCAGCCACCTGCAGCGCTATCTGGACGGAAAAAAGTTCGAAACAAAGGATCAGGTCAGAAAGGCGCTCGACGACTTCTTCAAGTCCCAGCCTCCGTCGTTCTGGAAGGATGGAATCGACAAGCTGCCTGAGCGCTGGCGTCGAGTAGTGAATGGTGATGGTGCATACCTCTAATCTCCAGGCTGGTTCGTTTTTGAGATATTTACAAAAAAGTCGTGTATAAGAACTTATGCAACAACCTAATAATAAACCATGAATTGATGCGTGCTTGTTCCACTAAAGGGAAAGGATCGTCAACTTACAGTGAAGGAGTGGAGACTTACGTAGATCGATAGAGTCTAGGATGCTATTGACAAAAACGGGAACCGAAACTGTTACTTTCATCTCGCAAGCGGCTTATGAGTTATTGAATTTTGCAGTGGTGAGATGTACATGCATTAGATTATAGGCGCCTAAAAGGAACCACTCAGTATTGCCATCAAGACGATTGTAGCCAGGTGGTAAGTCCTCATGGGAAAGGTCAACAGGTCAGCCCGGCCATTTGCAATGAGACTGTTGCACGCGCCTTGAGACAGTGAACTCAAATTAACCCTTCGAATTGCTCTCTAATTGAAGTTATAGGAGCTTTCCTTTTTCTTCTTGTAGGCGCGCTGGTGCCGAAGCGTTGGCACTTCCAGCACAGGACACAACGATTGTCGCGCAAAACGGGTTCTATACGTGTTCTGGGAGCCAGAGCACTCTTTGGGACGACACCCTCGCAACATCTGAGATTGCGACACAACTTTGAAAAAGGGTATTGGGTTAGTCATGGCAGAATAGTAGTCACCAGTGATACTAGGTCTAGCCTGTCGCTGATGACCGGTATTCGAGCTAATCTAACCAGACTTAGTGATGCCTTTTCGCAAAAAACGATAGGCTCACATGTTGGCATCATCTTTCATAATTTCCCTTTTAACTAGGAGGGTGTTCCACCTTGAGAATAGTCATCGCTGATACGAGCTCCAGTCTGCTGTAATTGACCCATGGAATACTTCACATTCCCGAATTTCTGTCAAAATCTCAGATTTGAGTGGGGACTTGTTCTCAGAAATAATTTGACCCGCTGAAGATGTATATGACATCAATTCAGTGCGAAAGCCACTGTGACGTGCGTTACGAGAGAGGCAAGCACAAGCACTCTTTTGAGCAACGATGGGTCTAGATGTCGAAAAAAGCTGATTACATGTTCTCTTACATGCAAGTACGAGCGAGCAGGCATGTCAGAAGCTCCCTTCGCCATGTTCCTAAAAAAAGGGACTACACGCGGATCGATATCCTGTTACGTCCCACTGCCACGTAACAGTATCACCATCCATATACAGGGGGGGCCAAAAAAAAGTCATTTTGCCTCCATGACTTTCAAGGCGCTATAAGTTACACTTTATTAAATTTTTATCGGACATTTTTACTACCATATTAAAGAGCACATTAAATACTATAATGATACTCCGCCACAGCCTTCTGGAGGAGCGCCATCGAGAGATTCGGCCGCGCGAAAGTGAGTGGGT